CCTTTTTATAACTGTCTCCTTTTTATAACTGTCTCCTTTTTATAACTGTCTCCTTTTTATAACTGTCCCCTTTTTGTAACTGTCCCCTTTTTATAACTGTCTCCTTTTTATAACTGTCCCCTTTTTATAACTGTCTCCTTTTTATAACTGTCTCCTTTTTATAACTGTCTCCTTTTTATAACTGTCTCCTTTTTATAACTGTCCCCTTTTTGTAACTGTCTCCTTTTTATAACTGTCTCCTTTTTATAACTGTCTCCTTTCTATAACTGTCTCCTTTTAGAGCTGTCTCCTTTTTATAACTGTCCCCTTTTTATAACTGTCTCCTTTTTATAACTGTCTCCTTTTGTAGCTGTCTCCTTTTATAACTGTCCCCTTTTTATAACTGTCTCCTTTTATAGCTGTCTCCTTTTATAACTGTCTCCTTTTGTAACTGTCTCCTTTTGTAGCTGTCTCCTTTTATAACTGTCTCCTTTTGTAAGTGGAACATAATATAACTGTCTCCTTTTATAAGTGGAACATAATATAACTGTCTCCTTTTATAAGTGTAGCATAATATAACTGTCTCCTTTTATAAGTGGGACATAATATAACTGTCTCCTTTTATAAGTGGGACATAATATAACTGTCTCCTTTCATAACTGTCTCCTTTTATAACTGTCTCCTTTTTATGACTGTCTCCTTTCTTTGGCTGTCTCCTTTTATAACGGTCTCCTTTTTATGACTGTCTCCTTTTATAACTGTCTCCTTTTATAACTGTCTCCTTTTTAAGACTGTCTCCTTTTATAACTGTCTCCTATTTAGGTAAGTGTCTCCTTTTTGTCTCCCTCTTACGACTGTCCCCAGCGTCTCCCAAAGTGTCTCCTTTTGCTTTTTCTCCGTCTCTTTTCCTCCTCCTTTCTCCCTCTTTCCTGTCTCCTTCCCTCCCCAAACTGTCTCCAAACTGTCTCCAAACTGTCTCCAAACTGTCTCCAAACTGTCTCCAAACTGTCTCCAAACTGTCTCCAAACTGTCTCCAAAAGTGTCTCCTTTCTGTCTCCTTCCCGCACCTACCAATATATCTTTTTGCTCTCTTTCCCCCCTCTTTCCCCCCCCTTTCCCCCCCCAATCCTCTCCAAAACTGTCTCCAATCCCCTCCAAAACTGTCTCCAAACTGTCTCCAAACTGTCTCCAAACTGTCTCCAAAACTGTCTCCAAAACTGTCTCCAAAACTGTCTCCAAACTGTCTCCAAACTGTCTCCAAACTGTCTCCAAACTGTCTCCTTTCCCTCTCCAAACTGTCTCCAAACTGTCTCCTTTCCCTCTCCAAACTGCCTCCAAACTGTCTCCTTTCCCTCTCCAAACTGTCTCCAAACTGTCTCCAAACTGTCTCCTTTCCCTCTCCAAAGTGTCTCCAAAACTGTCTCCTTTTTGTCTCTTCTTCAGCTACGTCTGTCTCTCTGGCTCCCCCACTCCCACCCCCACTGCCCCCCCCCAGGGCTTTGCCTGTGGCCCCGGGGGTTATTGTCCCTCGGGGACTTTGCAGCACTTGAGTTGTCTAAAACTGTCTCCTTTTTGTCTCTTTTCTCTCTCTTTTCTGTCTCCTTTCTGCCTCCAATCTATCTCCAAAACTGTCTCCTTTCTGTCTCCTTCCCATCTCCAAAACTGTCTCCTTTTTGTCTCTTCTTCAGCTACGTTTGTCTCTCTGGCTCCCCCACTCCCACCCCCACTGCCCCCCCCCAGGGCTTTGCCTGTGGCTTTGGGGGTTATTGTCCCTCGGGGACTTTGCAGCACTTGAGTTGTCCCTCGGGGACTTTGAATTCGGAGACAGTTGGCTTAACTGTCTCCGCCTGCGGGCCCTGTCCTGGGGGGGCCTTTTGCGAGGGGAGTACAGCGAGGGGCCCCTCGGGGCCCTGCGCAGCAGGGTACTGCTGCGGGGGGGGGGCCCCCCACCCCCGCAGCGGGGGGGGCCCCCCGGGGGCCTTTTGTCTCCAGGGAGCAGCAGAGCCTTCGCTGTGTCTCCCCGGCACCTTCAATCCTGATAAGAACCAGCCAGAGTGCAGGCAATGCCCGCCAGGGTCTGCTGCTGCTGCTGCTGCTGCTGCTGCTGCTGCTGCTGCTGCTGCTGCTGCTGCTGTGCTGCTGCGGGTTGCTGCGGCGGGCGCCTTTCGCCCCCAACTGTCTCCTTCCTGCTGCTGCTGCTGCGGTTTGCTGCTGCGGGCGCCCTTCGCTCCCAAGTGTCTCCCTCCTGCTGCTGCTGCTGCTGCTGCTGCTGCTGCTGCTGCAGGTTTTACTGCCCGGAGGAAGGGATGGAGGCCCCGCTGCAGTGCCCCGCGGGCTTCTACTGCGAAGCAGCAGCAGCAGTCCCCTCGAGCTGTCCCCCGGGGACTCTGAGTTCGCATTTGCTGCAGCAGCACAGCAGCAGCTGCCGCAGCTGCCCCCCCGGCTTCTACTGCAGCAGCAGCAGCAGCCAAACTGTCTCCGGCGTCTGCAGCGAGGGCTTCTTCTGTGCTGCTGCAGCAGAGTCTCCAACCCCACAACTCAAAGAAGACAACTCCGCAGGGCCCTGTCCCCTCGGCGCCTACTGCACCAGAGTCAGTCCCCCCCCCCTGCTGCTGCTGCTGCTGCTGCTGCTGCTGCTGCTGCTGCTGCTGTTTGGCTGCAGGGCCCGCGTGAGCGCGCACCCCGCTGCCGCTGCTGCTGCTGCTGCTGCTGCTGCTGCTGCTGCTGTTTGGCTCGAGGGCCCGCGTGAGCGCGCACCCCACTGCCGCTGCCGCCGCTGCTGCTGCTGCTGCTGCTGCTGCTGCTGCAGGGGACGGAGCGTCCGCACTTGTGCGGGCCCGGGACCTTCGGAGAGCAGCAGCAACTTGCTGCTGCTCACCAGTGCAGCAAATGCCCCGAGGGACACTTTTGCTCCAACTTGGGGCTTGCTGCGCCCCAGGGCCTTTGCGCCCCAGGCCACCTCTGCCCCACAGGCTCCAAAACGCCCTACGCAGTCCCCTGCAAGTGCGCATGCATGCATGCAGGAGTGCATGCATGCATGCATGCATGCATGCATGAATGCATGCATGCAGGAGTGCATGCATGCATGCATGCATGCATTCATGCATGCAGGAGTGCATGCATGCGTGCATGTGTGCATGCGTGGGGGCGTGCATGTGTGCGTGCATGCATGGTCTCTGGGGATAAGGGGTGGTTGGGTTGGGGCTGGTGCATGCATGCATGCATGCATGCATGCATGCATGCATGCATGCAGTAGGAGGAGGTGGATGGGCTGGTGAAGCTGCTGCTGCTGCTGCTGCTGCTGCTGCTGCTGCTGCTGGGCTGTGTTCAGGGTGGGAACTTACTGTCCCCAAGGGGCCACTTGGGAGACAGCATGCCCCGCGGGTAAGGCCCAAGTGTCTCCTGTCTCCAAATCCCACTGTCTCCTTTTTATTTATTTAAGTCCCTTAATTTAATTCCAAATCCCACTGTCTCCTTTTCATTTATTTGAGTCTCTTAATTTAAT